TCTTATGTTAGCCAACCTGGCATGTGCCGCTGATGTTATCCTTTTGATATGAGCTTCAGGGGACAGGTTTTGCGTGATATCAACCCCCAGGTCTTTCTCTCTCTCTGACTCTTGAAGTATTTCATCTCCCAAATGATATCTTGTATCTGGTCTCCTGCTTCCTACCCCTATCTTCATTACATTACATTTGCTTGGGTTAAAATCTAACAACCATTTGTTCGACCATTCCTGCAGCTTGTCCAGGTCTTCTTGAAGCCTCAAGCTGTCCTCTTCTGTCTTAATCCTTCTCATAATTTTGGCGTCGTCAGCAAACATTGAGAGGAATGAGTCTATACCCTCTGGGAGATCATTTACGTATATCAGAAACAGGATAGGTCCGAGTACAGAGCCCTGTGGGACTTCACTGGTGACTTCACGCCAATCTGACGTCTCACCCCTCACTGTAACTCTCTGCTTCCTTTTGCTTAGGTAGTCCCTTATCCACTGGAGTGCCCTACCAGTTACTCCTGCCTGTTTCTCCAGCTTATGCATCAGCCTTTTAAGGGGTACTGTGTCAAAGGCTTTCCGACAGTAAAAAAAAAATGCAGTCCGCCCATCCTTCTCTTTCTTGCTTAATCTTTGTCACCTGATCGTAGAATTCTATCAAGCCTGTAAGGCAAGATTTACCCTCCCTGAACCCATGTTGATGAGTTGTCACGAAGTCTCTTCTCTCCAGATGTGCTACCAGGTTTTTTCTCACAATCTTCTCCATCACCTTGCATGGTATACAAGTCAAGGACACTGGCCTGTAGTTCAGTGCCTCTTGTCTGTCACCCTTTTTGTATATTGGGACTACATTAGCAGTCTTCCATATTTCTGGTAGGTCTCCCGTTTCCAGTGAACTATTATATACTATGGAGAGGGGCAAACAAAGTGCTCCTGCACACTCTTTCAATACCCATGGTGAGATTCCATCCGGCCCAACAGCTTTTCTTACGTCCAGCTCCAATAGGTGCTTCTTGACCTCATCTCTTGTAATTTCGAACCTTTCCAAGGTCGCCTGGTTTGTTGCCACCTCTCCTAGCGCCGTGACTTCTCCTTGTTCTATTATAAAGACCTGCTGGAACCTTTTGTTGAGTTCCTCACACACCTCTTTGTCATTCTCTGTGTACCTGTCCTCACCCATCCTAAGTTTCATCACCTGTTCCTTCACTGTTGTCTTCCTCCTGATGTGACTGTGTAATAGTTTTGGTTCGGTCTTGGCTTTGTTAGCTATATCATTTTCATACCTTTTCTCAGCTGCTCTTCTCACACTAACATACTCGTTCCTGGTTCTCTGGTATCTCTCTCTACTTTCTGGTGTTCTGTTATTACGGAAGTTCCTCCATGCCCTTTTGTTTTGCTCCTTTGCTTTCATACATTCCCCAGTAAACCACGGATTCTTCTTTTGCTTCTGTTTTTTTCTGTCGGGCTGGGACAAACCTGCTTACAGCCTCCAGACACTTTTGGGTGACATAGTCCATCATGTCTTGTACGGACTTGGTTCTGAGTTCTGTGTCCCATTGTATATCCCATAGGAATTTATTCATCTCCTCATTTTTTCCTTTTCGGTACGCCAGCCCTTTGTTTCTCAGTTCTATTTTGGGGGAGATAATTCCTTGCTCTACCAAGTTCAATACACTGTGATCACTCGTTCCCAAGGGGGCTTCCAACTTAACTTCCCTTATATCCGACTCATTTAGGGTAAATATCAGATCAAGCAAGGCTGGTTCGTCCTCTCCTCTCATTCTTGTCGGTCCCTTGACGTGTTGACTTAGAAAGTTTCTTGTTACCACGTCCAACAGCTTAGCTCTCCATGTGTCTGGTCCTCCATGTGAGTCTCTGTTCACCCAATCTATCTTCCAATGGTTAAAGTCTCCCATGAATAGTAGTCTGGATCCGTTCCTGTTATCCACAGAAGCTGCTGTCTCTCTATTATATTGATGGTGGCCATGTTGTTTCTATCATATTCCTGTTTGGGTCTTCTGTCGTTTGGTGGGGGGTTTATATGACTACTACTATAATTTTCTGTCCTCCAGTTGCTATGCTGCCTGATATGTAGTCACTGAAACCCTCACAGCCCTGAATAGCCATCTCCTCAAAATCCCAGCCATTTCTTACCAGCAGAGGTACACCACCACCACCTCTTCCTTCCCTCTCTTTCCTCATAACATAATAGTCCTGTGGGAACACTGCATTTGTTATCGTTTTCGTTAGCTTTGTTTCTGTGAGGGCTATTATGTCTGGGCTTTCCTCTAGTACCCATTCTCCAAGCTCATTTGCTTTATTTGTAATCCCATCTATGTTAATGTACATTGCCTTGAAGCAATGTTTCTTCTGTTTATTTTCTAGTCCCCTTCTTGGTGAGCATTAGGGGTGCAAGGGAAGGGGGGACAGGTAGGGTGTGGGTTAAGGAGATAGGGGGGGACATGGAGGATACCGGATGATGGGGAGGAGGGATTGGGAGGGTATGGGATGAAGGGGGAGGGGGGATAGGGGGGAGGGAAAGGCAGGAGGGGGGACATGGTGGGAATGGGGGAGTGGTGATAGGTTCAGAATGGGGTGGGGGGGAGGGAGGGTTGGGTGAGCATTTGGGTGGGGGCAGGTAGGGTGAGGGGAGGCTACCTTGAGGTTACCTTGAGGTGCTTCCGGAGCTTAGCGTCCCCGCGGTCCGGTAGTCGACCAGGCCTCCTGGTTGCTGGACTGATCAACCAGGCTGTTGGATGCGGCTGCTCGCAGCCTGACGTATGAGTCACAGCCTGGTTGATCAGGTATCCTTTGGAGGTGCTTATCCAGTTCTCTCTTGAACACTGTGAGGGGATTGCCAGTTATGCCCCTTATGTGTAGTGGAAGCGTGTTGAACAGTCTCGAGCCTCTGATGTTGATAGAGTTCTCTCTCAGAGTACCTGTTGCACCTCTGCTTTTCAACGGGGGTATTCTGCACATCCTGCCATGTCTTCTGGTCTCATGTGATGTTATTTCTGTGTGCAGGGAGGGAAGGGAGACTTTTTATGCAGATGGGGGGGGGTGGTGTTGCCCTCCCCTCTGGTGTTGCTGGGATGCTGGTTGTGGGTTCCCCTCGTGTCTCTGGAACTGTTGTGTTGGGGGTTGCGGTTTCCTGGTTTACTCCTCTCTCCCTGCGCTTCTTTCTCGCCTCTGCTGCCCTGGCTCTCCCCTCCTTTGTCCTGTCCCTCTGCAGGAATACTTTCTTGTATTCCTCCACATACTGTAAACGACTCTTCCTTTCTAAAATAACCTCTTTGGTGGTCTCGTTTGTAAACACCACCTTTACCAGTCGGTTTCTGTCCTTGTTGTACCAGCCCAACCTGAAAACCTTCTCAATGTTTTGTTCAGCCTCTTCTATCTGTAACCCCTTCAGTAGCCCGTGTACTGCCTCACTATCCTTGCTATTCCATTCTTGCCTATTGGATCCTTCCTGTTCTTTGATGCCTACAAATACCACTGATCGTTTTCTCTCCAGCAGCTGGCTGGTGCACCTTGCTGCTTCCTGTGAGGTGGCTGCTTGCATGGCTACCTCCCTCACTGTGTCCATTGCTTCTGAGCTCTTTCTCAGTCTTTCTGCAAATGTTTCAGGAGCAGAGGCATTTCCTTCCAATGCAACATTTCCACCTTCCCTTTGGATGATAATCTGATGCTCGGCCTCTTCATTTTTCCTTGTGTGGGATTTGATCTCCTCCCATGCTGATGTCAGCTCACTTTGCAGGTTGCTAATTGTAATCCACATTTCATGCATCTCCCTCCTGAATTCCTCGAGAACTTGGGTTAACCCTGTGTCCCTGTTGCATCTTTCTGCCAAAAGAAAGATGCACTTTGTCCCTTTCCCTGATATGTTCTGATAGAGAGAGAGAGAGAGAGAGAGAGAGAGAGAGAGAGAGAGAGAGAGAGAGAGAGAGAGAGAGAGAGAGAGAGAGAGAGAGAGAGAGGAAGAGCAAAAGAGACAGAGCAGGTGAGAGAGCAAGAGAGAGAGACAGGGCAAGAAAGATAGAACAAGAGAGAGAGCAATATATATATATATATATATATATATATATATATATATATATATATATATATATATATATATATATATATATATATAGATAGAGAGAGAGAGAGAGAGAGAGAGAGAGAGAGAGAGAGAGAGAGAGAGAGAGAGAGAGAGAGAGAGAGAGAGAGGGAGGGCGGGGTTGGGGGGAGGAGGGAGGTAGTATGGGAGGGGGCGGAGATGGTCACTTCAGGTCAGGTGGTGGGAGAGATGTCAGGGAGATGGAGGGGGGTTTTTGGGGGTAGGGGGTGAGGAATATCTGGTATGCTACAGTAGAAGAGAGAAAGAGAGGGGGGATAATGTATGTGTATGTGTGTGTGTGTGTGTGTGTGTGTGTGTGTGTGTGTGTGTGTGTGTGTGTGTGTGTGTGTGTGTGTGTGTGTGTGTGTGTGTGTGTGTGTAGTCAGTGGTTGGGGAGGGTGGGTGTGGGGGGGAGGGAGGAGTGTTTTGGGAGAGTGAGATGAGTGGAGGAGGTGGGTGAGGTGTTGTCTTCAGATTACGGCGGGGGGATTAGCAGCTTATCTGGGTTCCCAGTGAGCTCACAGTTGCTGTCCCTGTTACTTGTCTACCACATATGGTTGTATTATTGAATGGAATGCAATAGTGTCTGATATGATATTATATAAACCTTGCACACTGTTGGAGACTTACAGAGAGACACTTACCAACCAGCTCCCCCACAAGCACTCTAGGTGAATACACGGCGTGTCGTCGGTAATCCTGTGTCTCCACGTGGGTCCCGCTGGTGCGACTGATGCTGTCTCAAGAAGTCCATCTTGAGACAGCATTTGTGTGTGAATGTGTGAGTGTACGTATTACATATGTACTTGTCTGGAGGACTATGTGTATGCATATGTGTAATTGTGTATATTTGTTATTTCATAAAACATATTATTATTATTATCTCACATTATGAAATGTGGTACTCCTTTGACAGTTCGCTATCCTCCTGCGCCAACTCTGTGGCCTGCCTCCTCTGGGAAGACTTCCTCAAACATCTCTCACACTTCAGGGACGTGAGTGACATCAGAGCTACCAGCGTTGTCAAACTTCTCTGTAAATACAATATATAAATAAAAATGGAAATGTTCGTTTGTTCAAAATCGCTAATCTCCGAAAGTTCTTCACCGATTGCCTTGAAATTTTCACACAACGTTCCCTTCGCATCCGAGCGGGTTTTTATATACATACTATATAGATGTCACGTCTGTGACGGGAAAAAACATGCTTTTTTTGAAAAGCTGTGTTTTTCAGGTGTTTTTCATGTGAGGGAAATCTTCGAAACCTCTTTACTGATTGCTTTGAAATTTTGACACAACGTTGCATTCGAATAGGCGTGTCTTTTTATATATCTACTATATACATGCCTCACCTGTGATAGGAAAAACATGCTTTTTTTTTTTAAACTTCGCTATCTGTTGGACGTGAGAGCAACACTCACTGTAATTTCCCAAAGTTCTTCACCAATTTCTTTGAAATTTTGACACAACGTTCCATTCGAATACTTGCATGTTTTTATATACCTACTATATAGATGCCACACCTGTGACAGGTAAGAACATGCGTTTATGAAAAACAGTGCCATCTGTTGCACGTAAGAGCAACATACGATATACAAAATATGTTACGATTCCATTTCAATGTTTCTGATTGCATTGATAAATTTAATTTTCATAAATTTTGATTTGTTTTCATTTTAATTTAATTATTTTGTGTGACGTTGCATTTGAATTGAGCTGTGTTTTTTACCATTTCGTTCATTTCGTGGGTATAGCTTTTTTCTCGTTTTATTTTTAACTGTTCTTATTTGTCAGTGCAATTGGCGGTGAACTTAAGCTGTGTCGATTGATCTGCGTTTGAATTGAAATATTTCGTTAGTATTTTTTGTTTTTGTTTTGAAAACAAGAAAATGGACAACACGTTTATTTCACAGCTGCAAATGTACAACAAACAGCTATGAATCCACCGGCTACAACGTTAACTGCTTTCTTCACGTTATGTCAAAATGACGCGTTTGCGAAAACACTGCTGTATTCGGAAGTGCCTACGTATTACACATGGAATGCCAGTAGAAAATCATTTGAACGACGCAAACGAGGAGACCGAGTCGACGGACAACCTGGCATATTCAAATAAACTACGATAGGCAGACTGTACACCGTGCATCCCAATCAAGATGAATGCTTCTTTCTTCGCATGCTGTTGGTAAATGTGCCCGGTCCAACGTCTTTCCAGCCACTGAGATTTGTCAACGGCGTAACACATGCCACTTTCCGTAGTGCATGTCAAGCTCGGAATTTATTGGAGAACGACCGACACTGGGATGTATGCATTAATGACGCGTCCAACACGTCACATCCAAATCAAATTCGTGCATTGTTTGCAATCATATTGACCACCTGCTCTCCTTCATCTCCAACAGAGTTATGGGAGAAATATAAATCGCACATGGCTGAAGATATTATCCGTCGAATACGCAAAGAAAATTCAAATATGAACTTGGATTTCACAGCAGAAATCTACAACGAAGCGTTGATAATGATTGAAAATTTGTGCTTAGGAATCGCGAACAAAGTTCTAAATCAATTGGATATACCATCGCCGAATCGATCTGGTGCTGCTTCGTTTAATGTAGAATTGCGTCGTGAACAAAATTACAACATTGGTGATCTGTTGTCGTATGTGCAATCAAATTTTCCTAAGCTAATGCTTGAGCGAAAATTCATTTACAATCAAATAATTCAAACTGTCAATAACGGGTTTGGAGAAATCTTCTTAGATGCGCCAGGAGGAACTGTAAATCCTTCCTAATTAGATTGATTCTGGCAGCATTTCGATCCCAAAATGGCATAACCTTAGCTCTTGCATCGTCCGGAATAGCTGCGACATTGTTACCAGGTGGAAGAACTGCTACTTCGGCTTTGAAATTGCCATTGAACATGCAATTCATTGAAACTCCCACGTGCAACATTTCCAAAGCATCCGGCATGGGAAAAGTATTGCAGAAATGTAAACTTATTGTTTGGGATGAATGCACAATGGCCCACAAAAAATCGCTCGAGGCTCTTGATCGATCATTGCAAGATTTGCGTGGAAACATCAGACCATTTGGGAACGCATTAATATTGCTTGCAGGAGATTTCAGGCAAACATTACCTGTAATTCCTCGATACAAGTCCGTCGACACTGTTGAGGAAGCAGATGAAGCGGTTAGTTATCCAACAGAATTTTTTAATTCACTCGATCTGCCAGGGATACCATCACACGTACGGCAATTGAAAATCTGCGTGCCAATTATCATGTTGCGAAATATCAATCAGCTAAAGCTTTGCAACGCCACGCGCCTTGCAGTAAAAAAATAATCAGCAACGTCGTAGAAGCAACAATCTTGACAGGACCTTTCAAAGGTGAAGATGTCCTCATTCCTCGCATTCCTATGATTCCAACAGATATGCCATTTCAATTTAAGATATTGTAATTTCCAATTCGATTGGCGTTTGCAATCACCATCAACAAAGCTCAGGGCCAATCTTTAGAATTGTGCAGTTTATATCTAGACACGGAATGCTTCTCATAGGGACAATTATATGTTGCGTGTTCTAGAGTCGGCAAACCAGACAATCTCTATATCTCCACAGACAATGGAACAACAAAACATATTGTATACCCACAAGCATTGTGAAATTAAACATATTTGAAACGAGCGCTTTCTCTTTTCTTTCTTTTCCATTTAAGTAGACTGAGCCACAGCAACGTATGACGGGTACAGCTAGTATATAAATAAAAATGGAAATGTTCGTTTGTTCAAAATCGCTAATCTCCAAAAGTTCTTCACCGATTGCCTTGAAATTTTCACACAACTTTCCATTCACATCCGAACAGGTTTATATATACATATTATATAGATGTCACGTCTGTGACGAGAAAAAAAAAATATTTTTTTTTAAACTGTGTTTTTCATGAGGGGAAAATCTTTGAAACCTCTTTACCGATTGCTCTGAAATTTTGACACGACGTTGCATTCGAATAGGCGCCTCTTTTTATATATCTTCAATATACATTCCTCACCTGTGACAGGAAAAAGACATGCTTTTTTTTTTAAACAGAGCCATCTGTTACATGTAAGAGCAACACACACTATAATATCCGAAAGTTCTTCACCAATGGCTCTGAAATTTTGACACAATGTTGAATTTGAATAGGCGCATCTTTTTATATACCTACTATATAGATGCCACCCATGTGACAGGTAAAAACATGCGCTTTGAAAAACAGCACCATCTGTTGCACATAATAGCAACATGCACGCTATACTAAATATGTCACGAATTCCATTTCAATGTTTCCGATTGCATTGATAAATTTTTTTTCATAGATTTCGATTTATTTTATTTTTATTGAATTATTTTGTGGCTGACATTGTGTTGGAAATGAGCTGTGTTCTTTACAATGCCGTTCATTTCATAAGTTTAAGTATAAATCCCACACCTGTGACATGTAAGACTATGCTTTCCTTGACAAACAGTACCATCTGTTGCCTGTAAGAGCAACACACACACATGCTATACTATATATGTTATAATTACATTTCAATGTTTCTGATTGCATTGATAAATTGAATTTTCATAGATTTTGATTGATTTTCATTTTGATTTGATTATTTTGTGAAATTGCGTTGAAATTGAGCTGTGTTGTTTACCAGACGGTGCATTTCGAGAGTATAGTTTATTTTTGAATGGTGGGGATGATGAGGGGACGGAAGTGAGAGATGGTGGGGAGGAGAGGGGACAGGGGAGTGGGGTATGGTTGGAAGGAAGAGGAGACGGGCGAGGAGAGAATGGTGGGGGAGGAGTGGTACTTTCAAATACTACTTATAATCTTTAAATCTTATATCTAATTATATTATAATCACATCTTATTTCAATCATAAGTCTAGACTGTAAAAATAATCAATCAATATTCATAGAAGGCTACCGTGCACAGAGAGCATGGCAGGGCGATGGGGGGAGTGAAGCGCCCACCAACAAAGCCCAGCGGCACTCCGCGTTTGTTTACAAATGAGTGAACAAGTGACTGATCCTTAGCGAACATTACCAGCTCAAGGACACCTTATCTAATATTTTTTATCACCAGTGAATACTCTCTAGAACTGGGGGAGTACCTGGACAATATCTACAAGGAAAATCATAGAACATTCATAAAATAAGAGTGTATAGTGGAGATCACGGTGACACGGTTTCCTCCACCTTCATTCTTTATCTTTATCATATCATTCTTCTGCAACGCAGTTAAAGAAAAATCACGTAGCAACGCTACCAGATCATCATACAGCAACGCTGTAGCAAAATATCGTGCCTAAACTCAACAAGAGAGAGTTAATCAGTCTGGCAAACTTGTCAGACAGGCACCCCGACTGGCAGAGAAGTATATTGAAGGTTATTTGGTATATGATTGGCCAATTGTATGCTTGTGTAGCTTTAATATCCTATAAATCTGTCTGTTGGTTAAAAAGCGAGGCAAAGCCTCACATTTCGGTACGTTTATTAAAATTGTAGTGTAGCTGTGAATCTTATCCAAGCACTGAACCTCATGAGTGTCCATTCTGTCAGAAAAGAATTCAGCCTCAATAAGTAAGAACCTCACAAGTGTCCATAGTCTTGGAAGAGATTCACTCAAGCTAACTGTATCATATAAATTGAATATGTCTGCACATATATTTGAATATATAAATTAAGTTATCAATTGCTTGCTTAATTATTTTTAAGTTATCATATAAGTTCATTTAATTGAATGTAATTTCTAGTAGTTACTTAACAGTATTTAGACTACATTTAAGGTCATTTATTATACTTTTACAATTTAATTTGTTGGTTATAGTATAAGAATATATTGGCTGTTAAGTTATGGTGCTAGGTTAGACTATGTATGTTTAAATCCCTGATTTAAACAGAGCCAGTGTTCAGTCATACAACTGAATTTATTAAATCTTATCCTTGTATAAAATACAAGCTGATGTGAGATCCCTGTCTACAGGTGGATTGGAACTTCTATCAACT